CATGTGTGTGAGTGAGGGCAGGCCAAACAAAAGGTTGTTGACAGATGTCTTTCTCTGCTGGTCTCACACTGTCTCAGTGATGCCAGCCAAGAGTTGCTCCACTACAGCATACTGAGGCAGAGAAGTGACTCCGTTCCTGGGAAATCTCACAAAATTATTATTCTGACAGATGGATGGCCCGTCACTGGGAAAAGCATCATTTCTCAGACCTCAGGGCATAGACTATGGTCCATAAGGTGTTCTGTGTCCAGGGAAGGCTCCCTAGCCACTGAGGTTTCAGACACTGCTGAGCTAAATATGGGCTCACTTGGTGGACTTTGGGAAGTGCACATTTTGTGAGGTGTGCTGTCCCTATTCTCATGTTCCTGACCTCACGTGGCATCTGGAGAAACTCATTTTAAACACTGACATTTTACAGACATTTTACAACATCTTGAATATATTTTACATGATAGTGGACACTGTTGTTGCAGTGACATTTAAGAGAAGAAAGCCATGTGTATGTGCATTATGAACTCTGCAACAATGAGGCATGCCTATGGAGAATGCATGAGAACACATGGGGCACAAACAGGCAGAGAACCCAAGTTTTCACAGCTGTCCTTACTTTGAAATCAACTGGCAAAGTGGCTCAGTGGCCAGAATACTTGCCTAGCATGTAGGAAGCCCTGGCTCCATCCCCCGATCTGCATCAAAACCAGTGTAGTGGCACACTTGGGAGGCAGATATAGGAGGAGCAGAAGTTCAAGGTCCGGGTGGTGGTGGTGCACACCTTTAATCCCAGCACTGGGAAGGCAAAAGTAGGATGATCTCAGTTCAAGTAGGCCAGCCTGGTCTACAGAGAGAGTTCCAGGACAGCCAGAGCTACACAGAGAGATCCTATCTCAAAAAAACAAAAAGAAGTACATATCATCTCAATCAGTAACACTGTGAGTTGGAGGCCAGCCTGGTCTACATAACCAGACCCTGTATGGGAGGGGGGATTGAGACCGAGTTTGAAATAATGGAGGATATGGTAGCATACATCAGTAATCCTAGCATTCAGGAATCTAAAGCTGGAGGCTCAAGAATTCCAGGCCAGCCTAGGCTACATAATAAGACCCTGTTCTCAAATATGAGAATAAGTGAAAAGTCTGTAATCACAACAGCATTGTCAGTAAAGACCCAACAATGTTGCTGGGCAAGGCTTTTGTCTTTTTGTTTGCTTTATAGAAACAAGCAGTGGTTAGTCTTCTTCCCCAGGACCCGCCTTGGCTCCTTCTTTTGATAAAACTGCAGGGGCTGATGCAAAGATTTGATTTTATGATGGACTGCCAGGAGTCACAAGTGTACAAGACCTCAAATTGGAGTCATAAAGTAAGATGCTTCACTACTTGCAGAAGAGTGCTAAACAACCTTGACAGCCACTCAGAGACGAACTGGTTCTCCCAGGAGTCATCTGCTCCCATGTGAGAGGAGGTGACAGCACCGCAGAGACAGAACTCAATAGAGCAGGACGGAGGGCTCAGCAGGTAAAGGTGCTTGCTGCACAGGCCTGGGGACCTGAGTTTGATCTTCACAGGCCACACGGAGGTGGAAGAACTGAACAGGGTCTAAGGCACTATCCTCTGACCTCTGCCCCAGCACACACAGACTTGAGCACACAGTCATAAAAAGCACAACTACAAAGAATGAACTGGAATGTTCTTTGCTTCGGCATCCATTTTTTAAGAGTGAAGGTTCACTAAGGGGACACAAAAGCTGGCACATTACCATCCTCACTCAGAAGATGCTCTGATCCTACCAGAAGCCAGTCAGGAAGTTTCCGCAGAGGCAAGTGAGGGATGCGTTTTGACATTCCTCCTCAGTCTACACACTGAGCCTCCCAATAAAAGGAGAACCAGGATTCCCACACACCACAACAGCAGAGGTGAGGCACTCCACTCACTAGAGACCTAATCGTAACCTCAGTTACTGGTAAACGCCAAGGGATCCTTTTCCTGATGGGCTATCCTTCTGGGTGGAGTCCTGCTTCAGATGTCAGGAGCACTGGCCCACCCCTGACATCAGAGATCACTGGGTGACGTCTGCTTTAGTAAGTTTAATGCCACCCTGAGCTACCGAGACTGATCTCAAAAGAAGAGTGGGCAAAATCTGAGGGTAAGAGATGAAAATGATTGACACTGAACTCCAGCCTCAGCCCTTAGAAGACAGGAGAGTCGAGGCTAGCCTATCTCAAAAACCAAAAGTGGATACACTTTTAATTGAGGCACTAGGAGGCAGAGGCAGGCAGATCTGTGAGTCTAAGGCCAGCTTGGTCTACACAGAGTTCTAGGACAGCCAGGGCTACACAGATTCTATCTCAAAACAAATTCTGTCTCAACCCTAAAAACAAAACCAAAAAAGGTGTTCCACACCACCAACCCAAAGGAAACACAAACTAAAACCGTAAGACAGTACTATACCACACATATCAAAACAGCCAAGAGAAAAGGTACACAGTGCAGTCAAGCATGTACAACTCACATTATTGGTGAATGAGGCAGACACCCAGGAAGAGAGGCCGTCTCTAGTCTGTTCTGTTGCTGCAGATGTAATCTAGTCTGGGCTCAAACCCACTGTCTAGCTGAGCAGTAGCCTGAACCCCTTCACTCTGCCCCACCTTCCAGGATCAACAGGTACACCACCCCACCTGTTTCTTGAAAAACAAAAACAACAACAAAAAAACTACACATGCAGTTGCCAAACAAACAACTGTACTCTTGCTCTCACCTCCAAGAAATGAAAATTCATATTCACACAAAAAGCCACCCATGGATGTTCACAGCCAGTTTACTTATACAAGTCCACATCTAGACTCACTATATCTTTCCATGGGTTGACAGTTAAGCTGTGAACAACTGCTCATCAACAAAAAGGGACATACTGTCACACTTGGATAACTTCTTAGGGAAATGTGCTGACCAAAAAACCAATGGACAGGCTTTGGGGATGGCTCAGCTGGTAAAGCATGTCTCAAGTGTAACTCAGTTTGAATCCTCAGAACCTATGCAAAACTACTGCTCTCCAGGACCTGGGTTTGATTCCCTGTACTCACTCCACAGCTCAGAACCAGCTGTAACATCAGTCCAGGGGATCTGATACCCTGCCCCGACATGCTTACAAAACAAAAGACTGCAAAAGACTGCAAAAACAAAAGACAGACTGTTAAAAAGGGTTGTGCCCACACCTAGCCTTGCTGCCTCCAGCTGTGGTCAGTGCTCCCACACTCTTGCCTGTGGGGCCAATGCTGAAGACCAACTTAACTGAAGCAGCCATGCCCTAGGATCTCCTAAACTGACCTAAATAAATTTGTTCTTACTAGTTAGTTGGGTTTCAGGAAGTTCACCATAGTGACCACAGAAACAACCTGACTGATACAACTTTTTTTTTTCCTCTGTGTAGTTTTGTAGACCAGGTTGGCCTCGAACTCACAGAGATCACTTGCCTCTGCCTTCCAAGTGCTGGGATTAAAGGCATGTGCTACCACTACCAGGCCGGATACAACTTTCAAACCCAACATGCCCAGCACTCCAGAAGCTGAGGCAGGAAGAATGAAGAACTGGAGGCAGATCAGTGGCTGCTAGGGTCAGAGAGTGGGCAGGAGGAAGCAGGGAGGGAGGGTTGTCAACATGAAGGTTGTCTATTTATTTATTAGTTATTATTTTGCCTTTTCTAGACAGGGTCTCACCCTGCACCCAGGCTGACAGAGAACAACAAACTCTCCCAAATCCTGGGATCACAGATGGGCCACTGTGCCTGACTTCATCCTTAAGAGTTTTTCCAGGGCAGTGGTTCTCAACCTGTGGTTGGAGACACTTTCACATGGGTCACCTAAGACCATAGGAAAACACTGATATTTACATTATGACTCATAATAGTGGCAAAATTCCAACTACAAAGTAACAATGAGAATAATTTTGTGGTTGGGGGTCAGCACAGCATGGGGAGCCAGACAGAGAGAGGAGGGTGCTTGGAACTCAGTCAATCTAGTCCTGCCGGCAAGCTCCAAGTTCAGCGAGAGACCCTGTTTCAACCCCCAAAACAAACGACAACAACAACAAAACAAACCAAACCAAAAAAATAGAACAAACAAACAAACAAAAACCCACTATGGCCAGGCATTAGTGTTTCAAGACTTTAATTCCAGCACTTGAGAGGCAGAGGCAGGTGGATCTCTCTGAGTTTGAGGCCAGCCTGGTCTACAGAGTGAGTTCCAAAAGTGTGATAAGTATTTGAAAAAGCCAACTTGTCATCTCTGACCTCCACACCCACATACACACAATTATTTTTATCTTTAAAAATGTACTCAATTTTACTTGTATGAGTGTTTCATCTGCACTTGCCTGCCTGTGTACCATATATATGCCTGGTGCCTGTGTCAGAAGATGGCGTCAGACTCCCTACTGGATGTGAGCTGCTATATGAATTCCAGGAACTAAACCTGAGTCCTCTGGACGAGCACAAGTGCTCTGAATCACTTCGTCATCTCTCCAGTCACAAATGATGTGTTTTACAGTAATCAACTTCCAATCCTGATCATGCAAAACAGACAGGCATTACCTCTAGTTTTTAGAAGCCTCAGCTTGTGGCCTTTCTGCTATTCCAATCCACAGGCCACTTAGATTCCATCAAAGGGAAACCATTTCTACAGGTTCCGAGGACCCCTTTATGACAGTAGCCTTGTCTACATGGTATTAAGGAGGGGTGGTGAAGAGTGGTAGATTATATACAGTAAGATACTAGTCTTGAAAGCTGAGAAAACAAAACCCCAAATGCACATGTATTATATGCAAATACCCAGAGATCTAGAAGGACACCCAGGTTTGTCCCTAGTTGTGACTTCCTGAGGTGGCTAGGGTGGAAGAGGACTGGCCTAAGGCTGTGTGGACTCCAACTGCCCAGTATTGGAGGACTGCATTCCAGTTCCAGTCCAACAGGTCTACTTTGTTTAACAAGGGGAAAATAAAACAAGCACTTACTGCATTCATAGATCTGTTCCAGTTTATCCACAGAAGAAAGGGAGAAAAACTTATACCCGGATTTACTACCAACAGCTAGAGACCTGCAAAAAAGACAAATCAGAAGTAAGAGCTAGAGCATGTAGACAGTGATCATGTATAAACCAGTGCCCACCTTATTCTCCAATAACCAGGGTTTCAACCAGGGTTTCTACCAGGAATCACCAGCTTGCTCCTAATCATCTCACAGGTCTTATCAGATATATGGTAGAGGACATTATAGCCCAAAGGTCTGTAAAGCATATATGGCATGGTCATGACGGTCATGGCAGTTAACAAGTTTTGGGACCTGATGCACTACTGTCATCACACACAAAATCCAAGCATGTTAGCATGTTAGGTGACTGTGTGTGTGTGTGTGTGTGTGTGAGAGAGAGAGAGAGAGAGAGGTCCTCAAGTTCAAACTCTTAGGAGGGAGGGAGACAAGGAAGAAGGGATGGGGGTGGGGGGAGGCAAGCAGGGAGGGAGGGAAGCAGGGAGGGAGGGAGGCAGGGAGGGAGGAAGGGAGGAAGGGAGGGAGGGAGGGAGGGAATGTAAGCAAGCACACGCCATGGAGCACAAGTGGAGTCAGGCAACAGTCTGAGGTATTGATCCTCCCCATTCACCTTGTTTGAGACAGGGATTTCACCACAGCTGCATACACCAGGCTAGCTAGTCTCCAATGGTTCAGGAATCCTCCTGTGTTGCTTCCCACCCAACCTTAGGAGGATTGGGGTTACAGATGTGCAGCACCACACCTGGCTTGACGTGTGTTCTTCAGATCTCAATTCCCCCTCCCACTTTGCACAGCATGTGCATCTCCCCTTAGCCATCTCCTCAGCCCAACAGTTTCACACTCCATGTATTTGTGTAGGAGGGTACCCTATTGTAGACCTTAAATATATTCAGATTTGCCACTTACCCTCAATAAAGCCTGGGAAAAGATTAAAATAAAAGTAGTGAAAATAGCCGGGCAGTGGTGGCGCATGCCTTTAATCCCAGCACTCGGGAGGCAGAGGCAGGTGTATCTCTGTGAATTTGAGGCCAGCCTGGTCTACAGAGTGAGTTCCAGGACAGGTTCCAAAGCAATACAGAGAAACCCTGTCTTGAAAAACAAAAAAAGATTAAAATAAAAGTAGTGAAAATAAATGAACAAACCTCATAAAACTAATAAGACCTAAATGAAGAATAATCAGCTGTCAGCCAGTGGCTGCAGACATACATGACTGTTTCAGCATTTGTAAGCCTTCAAGTTTAGTACACTGTACTTAGTACAACCGAGGCTTGGTATCCGTCCTCAGTTCAGGACTGCCTTCAGCACTGGCTGTACTGTGCCTGAGAGGTAGGGTAGAAATGACAGGCACTAAGGAGCTAGTTAGACCCTGGTAGGCAAAGAATTACCTTTGTTGGGTGAGATAGAGAAGTGAGTTTTTGTTTTTGTTTTTTTCCGGGACAGGGTTTCTCTGTGGCTTTGGAGGCTGTCCTGGAGCTAGCTCTTATAGATCAGGCTGGCCTTGAACTCAGATTCGCTTGTCTCTGCCTTCGGAGTGCTGGGGTTAAAGGTGTGCGCCACCATGACCCAGTGAGGGGTTCTTTTTGATGGCTTATGTTTGACAGGCTGCGTTCACCAACTCCCCTAGCTTTGGCTAAAAGGCTTGGAGCACAGAGTCTCGGTGACAACAAATGAAGGGGTTCCTGATCAGAATTTCCATCTTCAGGATGCAACTGACCAAAGAAGCAAGAGCAAGCAGCACACACAGCCTTCACCAGCACAAAGAAGGATGGAAGGGAAGAGGGAGGGAAGAGACAGAAGTTCAAACAATGGGGTTGTTTTGGTCTTAACTTCTGGAAGAACCCAAATAAATAAATAAATAGAGCAGGGAACTTTTCCCAATTTGTATTCATAGACATTTGAGACTACTTGACATTTCCAGTCCTCTCACAGAAAAGTGGAAAACATTCCTAGACACTGGGGATGGTAGGTAACATACATCTATAATCCCAGCATCTGGGAGGCAGAGGCTGGAAGATCACAAATTTGGGTCCTCCTTAGCTACAGACCAAGTTCAAAGGCAGCCTAGGCTATATAAGGCTCTGATTCAAATCACCAAGATGGGAGAGCACTCCTGGAACAGAGGCTTTGTGGCTCTGTGAACACGCTGAAACCTAAGTAGCATGAGCTTATCTTATGGCACTGAGGACCACAAACTTTCCCTATGAAATGATATGATTTGTCTTTGTAATACTTTACTGAGTTCTTTCAACCAAGTAATCAGGTCTAGACATCTATACACAATGAGTAGTAACAGATGACCATGGTGGTACACGCTTTCAATCCCAGCACTAGAGTCCAACCTGGTCTACATGGCAAGTGCCAGGCCAGGCAAGTGCCAAGTCTCAATTAAAAAAAACAAAAACAAAAAAACCAAACAACAACAACAACAACAACAAAACAAAAACAATGAAAGAAGCAACAAAACAAACAACTCCCCAGCAAGGTTGAAAATAAAATCTCAGCAGCTCAGAACTTCTGGAAAATTATGTTCAAGAGACTATTTTCCAGACAAATAAGGCTTGCTATTTTAATCTCTCTTACATTAACTATTTCTGAACTTAAAACACAAACCACCCTGGCACTTGGGAGGAAGAAGCGGGAGTATCAGGAGTTCAGGGCCAGCCTGGGCCACATAGTGAGTCTCTGCCTCACAGTAAAAATGAAACACCCAAAATATCAACAGCAAAAAGAAAGTAAGACAAATATAATTTTAAAATTGTATATTTTCCTGTGTGTTTTAAAAGATTTTTACTTACTAGTATATCTATGTGAAAACCTGCTATATATATGAGGTATCTGCAGGTGAAGTTAACAGGCAGCTGTGAGCTGTGGCTGTTCTGGTCCTCTGGAAGGACAAGGGTTCTTAGCTACTGAGCCACCTTCCTAGATCCCCAAAGAAATGTTCCTGTGTTCTTAAGACAGAAGGACACATTTTTTGTCTATTTGAAACAGAATCTCACTAAGTAGATAAGGCTGGCCTGGTACTTTTTTAATCCTCCTGCCTGAGTCTTCCTATGTGTTATGATAGATATGAACCTATACCCCTGCTTTGGCAAATTCTTTTGTGTCTCACACACCAGATGGCCAGACCATGTGAGATACATGTATATAATTCTGTGTGGATGTGTATGTCTGAATGTATGTATGTACACTACATATGTACAGGAACTACGGGAGCCAGAAGAGGGTGTTGATCTCCTCAAACTCAAGCAACGGGTGGTTGGTTCAAAAGCAGCAAGTGGGTGCTAGGAACCTAATCTGGTTCTGGGTCCTCTGCAGCATTAAGTGCTTTTAACTGCTTGAGCTGTCTACAATAATTCAAAGGTATTTTCTGGAGCTGTTAGCACATGTCAGGCTCATAACAAAACAAAACAAAACAAAAGCCTACCTTCATAGACAGCTCTCAGTTTTCTTTATGACCACCCTATCACCACTCCCCTCTTCACTTCTTGTTCACTTGGAAATCACAAAATAAGCTTAGGGAGGTCCTTGCCTACAAGCATTAGAAGTGGATTTGTGGGTTCCAGAGAGCTTGGTTCTCAGTGCTCCCCATGGGCAGAATGTTTTTTTTTTTTTTTTTTTTTTTTTTTTTTAAAAATTTTTTTTTGTGTTTGTCCTAGCTGTTCTGGAACATGGATTTGTAGACCAGTCTGGCCTCTAACTTACAGAGGTCCACTGGCCTCTGCTTCTCCAGTGCTGGGATTAAAGGCATGCACCACCACCACCTGGCCAGGCAAAAATCTTTTTGATGTTCTAGATATACAGAACTGCTTAGACAATTAAATACCTGGGCAAAATTTTAATGCCAGGTCTTCTAAACTGACCGTGCCCTTTTATGAGTAAGAAACAGAAGTTAAAAACTTTATCAGGGGAGGATGACATTGTAAACAGTTTTGGGTGCAGTGCATCAGAGTACCTGCTGGGCATGACTGTGGCCTTGGGTCTCAAGGTAAGTGTTTAACATTTTCATTACAAACACCAACAACCAGATTCACTTACCCCTCTTTGGTAGGTTATGCAGACATTATAATCATGGAAAAGGCATAGCCACATGAGAGGTGAGATTTGTTCTATTAGAAATAAATGTTTGTGGCTTTTTAAAATGTTAACCCTGGTCTAGGGATGTAGCTCAGTGCTACTGCACTTGCCTGGCATATGCAAGGACCTGAGTTCAAGCCTGGGTTGTCCAATTGTCAGAGGGGAATACGAACTGCAAGAAATGATGGGCAGGACACTTGAGGAGGGGCAGGAGACCTCCAGTTCAAGGCCAACTAAGGCTGCAAAAAGAGACTAACTCAAAAAATAAAGATGTAAAGGGTGTGGTGGTGCCTATCTCTAACTCTGGCACTGGGGAGGTAAATGCAGGACAGGAGGAAGCTCCGAAGTTCACAGTCACACAGCAAAGGAAGTTCGAGGCCCGCACTGGCCTTAAGCTACAAGAGACCCAGTCACAAACAAACAAAAAGGTGCATTTGTTGGGTTGAAGAGATGGCCCAGTGGTAACAGCATGTATTTTTTTTTTTCTTGCAGAGAACCCGAGTTCGATTCCCAGCATCCACACAGGCAAGTCATAGGCCTGTACACAGGCCTGTAACCCCAGCATAAGGGGATCTGACATGCCTTTGACCTCCTCAGATACATACATGTACTCCCTTCCCATCTTCCCCTCCCATGAGTCAAATCTGTTGCAACATTCTTTTGCTATTTTATGAGGATATAGGGGAAGGAGCTGCCACCTTGACATGGTATCTCTTACTCAATTTGAACATGAGCCTGAACCATCTAAAAGGCAGCCCTTCCACTGCACTATGAGGCTGTGCAGCAGACATGTCCTTCAGCTTCCCAGGCATCAGTCCATCAGGCCTTCCCCTGTCATTACCTTCCCTAGGAAAAGGTCACTTGAGTATGTGGGTGAGTGGGACAAGCCACCACTGTAAACAGGAAGCAGACTACCCCATGGCCACAGTGACCTGACAGGTGCTATGCCTTACTTAGGACAACAACCAGGCCAAGTTCATGGAGAACCCAGCCCATCCCCAGCCCCGAGCTGCACCAGAAGCCCTGAGGTCTGTCAGAGTATCCAAAGCAGAGCTCGTTCCTTGGCCAATTTTCTAACAATGCTCCCCAAGAAACACCAGACCCAGGAACTAGGTTGCCCTTGAACATATCACCTGGGTTTCAGGGTCACTGCCCACCCACCCCCTGCAGCAATCCCATTCTCAACTGTCTTCTCTGAAAAGCAGGTGGAGGGGCAGCCACATTGAGGCTAACGGAACTTTGGAAACCCCCTGCAATATACAGGCAAATAGAGGAGGGAGTAGTGCCTTTCAGAATGGTGCCTGGAAATGGAGAGCGCTCAGTGGGAGAAAGCAAGGAGTACTTTTAGACCCTGTCTAACATGGGGGTGGAGTAGGGGCATTTTCTTTACTCTAAGCCTCTGGGAAAGGAGGCCTATAATAGACACAGCCACCTCTGTGACTTCCCAAAATCCACTGGAAAAACTTAGTCCTGATGATTCCATGTGAGAATCCAGTGACCCCATGCCAGTTATTTACTGGTCAAGTTTCTACTTTGAAAAGCTAGAATGCTCCCACATAAGCCTATCAGTTTGAGAAAAACACAGGTGGGAATCAGTCAGACTAAGGCGACCAGGATACCCTGCTCCTCCTGTCCTTTTCATTGTTCTCCTTTAAAAACAAAAACAGATGGTAAAAAACAGATCATACTGCAGTAACTTTTAGCATAAGAATCACAAAAAGAAAAATCCCTCAATATTTGAAATCATATTACTAATAGGAGGAGAAAAGAAGAAACTGACAGTGTTTGGAGTACAATAAATGTGTGAGCATTTAAAAGAGGCACTGAAATTACTACAGAATGGATGAACACTCCCTTCATGTCCAGTGGCCCCCATCTATTCCTGAACACAGTAAATGGGATTCCACCCAAAATTCCACTCCTTGCCAGAAAACTTTTAAAATTATGTTTCTGGTATCTCTGTACACATGCATACATGTCTGTGTAAATGTTAATGTGCATGTGGAGGCTACAGACCAGGTTGGGAATCTTCCTCTACTACACTCCATCTTGCTTGTTTTTTTTTGAGACAGGGTTTCTTATTGAACCTGGAGATGACTCTTTGGCTAGACTGGCTGGCCAGTGAGCTGAGGATGAGCAACCTATCTCTGCTCCTGTGTCTATACGAGCCCTAGGGTTACAGATCCCTACCCTGTCTGGTTTTTACATGGCACTAAGGAGCCAAATTCAAGCCCACATGTTCCAGCCCCATGGCCTTAAAAAAAAAAAAAAAAAAAAAAAAAAAAATTTTTTTTTTTTCGGGGTTT